TGTGCGAAATCGACGCTCAATAGTTGCACAAGGAAGCACTTTGGCTGCTGCTGATCACGATTTCTCAAAACTATCTCTAACGCCATCAGTAGTTTTTTTTATTTCTATTCCTAATGATATTTCTGGATCATTTTATGATGGTCAGGTGTATGTATCGTACAAAGATACGATTTTTGAACCGAGTACTGCTATTAGACATTCAACTGAATTTTTAAATGTACTAAAACTTCAATATGTATATCAAGAATTGCCACCGATTTTATGTCTTTACACTGATGGGGGTCCAGATCATCGTTGTAATTATGGTTCAGTACAAATTGCATTAATAAGTCTTTTTCTTTGTGGAGATTTTGATCTGCTTGTTGCAGTTCGTACGGCTCCTAATCATAGTTGGACAAATCCCGCAGAGCGAATCATGAGTACTTTAAATTTGGGTCTTCAAGGTGTAGTGCTCAAGCGTGACTCAATGAGTCCGGAATCTGAAAATTTATTTGGAATGGTAAATACACTGGGTGATATTCGTGAAAAAGCTAAAGAATCCAATAAATTAGAATCAGAATTAAAAGAATGCATCACGGGCATTCAAGAAATATTAAAAAATCGAACTGCACGGCTTAGATTAAAAAACAATAAATTTAAATGCCATTCCCCGGCAAGTCAAGAAGAGATTACTGAAGTATTTGAGGTAAATATTTGACTTTTTTCATATTATTATTTCATATGCAATCGGGCATTCAATCTTTAGTTTGTTTTCTGTGTGCCATCTAGGAATAGTCTATCATCGGCCTTTAATTATATTTTGACAAAATATAATTTAAAGCCTGATGATAGACTATTCCTAGATGGCACACAGAAAACAAACTGAACATTGAAAGCCCGATTGCAGGTTTTCCCTTGGCGGCACTCATATTATGGAGACGGGTGATACAAATACGGAATTCAATCTTGCTAAAAATCGAAATCAATAAATTAAATGTTATCAATTATTTAAAACTATAACTTAACTAATTTTAATTTGCGCTATTCAAATGACTAATTTTTTGAACAGTCAATGTTCCGTATAGACCCAACTTTAAAAATTGAAGAAACCACGCAGGCACAAATACGCAATCATCCAACATTAGTCGAATTCATAAAAACTCATTGTCAAACACGTGCTTATAGTTTCCAGGCATGTAAATTTTCAATATAATAAGGTTTAAGCCTATTTTAAATTTTAATGATACTGATTAAATAAAATTGATATTTTTTCTAAAGGTAAAAAAATGCTTTGATACTTCGTGCTTATATTGTAAGCCAATTCACCTTCCACAATATGAATTTGGTAATTTAAGTTTTCTCCCAGATCCAATCCCTTCAAAAGGTAGATTATCTAATTTTTTGATGTATATACTGTAATTAAAGATGAGTAGAATGCATGATGCGCATGAATAGATCCAAGTTTCACTATTAGTGGTTATCACGATTGTTATTTTATGTAGTGCGAGCACTTAAGTGCATGCATTTAGTTGCTGTCGAAACTATTTTGGGCGATGAATAGCATATGATAAGACCAGGTTAAAACCATATCGATATGTTATGCTAATTATCACATTGTTTGGGCTGTCCAAAATAGTTTGGATGGCATGCATGATTGCATGCATGCATGGCATAATGTCGCAGTTGCCCATCTCTAACTATGTAATCATAAAAATTTAAAACTAGACAATACGGACCATTATGCAAGCTTTCAACATGTTTACGGAACTAAGACTACTGAAGAACACAGGCCAACGTATATACAGTTGCAGGCAAAATCAGAGTCTATTCCGAAATATATTCTTGTTACAGAAAAAATTCGTGATTATATTGGTTGTGAAAATTGTAGAAAACGTCGCTGCGTATATAGTAACAAATCTTTAACCGATGATGAACAAAATGATTATCAGCAGGCACTGGAATCATATTCATACTCGTGTGGAGCACCAATTTTCCCTGACGATCATTATTTGAAAGAAGTGATATTTGTACGTTTGCAAATTAATTGTGATTCACCGATCGAAATACTCTATTATTCAAGCCGCAAAGCAGGAAATTATCCAATTTGTTACCATTGTGGAAATAGCGATAATTTAATAACTCCACCTCAATCTTTGAAGGAACGTTTCAAGCAAATTTATCCATTGTGCGAAATTTGTCAGGAAAGCGGGAGGAATTTTTATACAAAAGGGGCAGTTAAGACCAATAATAAATCCACAAAGCATTCTAAAAAATAACATAAGTCATTCTAGGTTAAGATATAACGTTATATAGCATTAGGATTAGTATTAGACTGATTTAAAGTCACGGTCAGACAAGGATATATTATTCAGTGTAAATGGTTGAAAGTTAAGATAAAGAAGAGTTGGCACTGCATATAGTGCTTATTCTAAAGTTATCAATCTAGAGAAGAGTAGAATAATTAAATATGTTGCTATAATTAAAATCACCTATTTTTTTTTTGTCCTTTTTTTTTTAATCATGTTTATTCAAGGCAGATACGAAGGCCCTTTATTGTTATCTCAGTAATAATAAAATACATATATAAAGACTAGGTTCTGCAAGTGCCAGCACTTGCAGAATCCTAATAAAGACCCACTGTATTCAACAGCAGAGACAGTACCCGATCCAAAGTGAATCCCTCTCGCCTGTGATCAATTACAAATTAAATTATTTATGTTGGATTCAATTGTGATGGATATAATCCCTCACCGGTTTTAATATATGTGTAACATTAACGGTCTCTGCTGTTACTGTATTCACCTGAAATAAAGATAACGCACATTCGAGTTCTAAACTACGAAGAGATAATAGTAGTAGTTCCCTTCCAGACCCTTTATTATAAATTCGCTGGTTGTATTCTGTTCGTCATATTTTTCTTGTCCCTGTGATTTTGTATTATTCATATTTTCGTATAAGCAAAAATCAAAAGAAAGAGTTAAGAATTAGTGATCAGTGCTCTTATATAGTGAAAACGAAATTGATTAACTTTTGATTAAGCCTACTGTTAAAATGCTACGTAAACCTTAATAAATAATATCCGTGAGCACATGATATCGTGAACCAAATTCACGATCAGGATATTTTATTGAAGCCGATGTAATAGTAATAGGGTCAATGTGATCTGACCGCAAAAAAAAACGTGACCCAAGCCATGAGATCCTGGATCTTAATGCGCATTGATCGACAAAAGTGAAAAATGCTAATTCGGGTTTGGCTCTCCATTGAAGAATAATAGTAAGACGCCAAGTTGTGGAAACTAAAGTCATAGTCATGCAAATGAGTATGAATTACTCATCATTAGTCATAGAATTCCCCTTCTGATACTTTAATTAGCCATATCGCTTGTTAGATCTTAATCGTAATAGAAAGGCCCAGAATGTATATAAAGGTCTCATCTTCATGTAACTTTGAGATAGTAGTTAGATATAAATAAGAATCATATTAATAAAGACTATCGAATGATAGTCTCAAGGATTCTAGTGGTAGTAGGATACTTAGTTCTTAGATCAAATCTTTCTCTGTTTTTAGTTGTGTTTTAGCTATAAGACTTAGTCACCACAAACCCGCCTTTTACACTGAGCTGCATCTTTTGATAGAGAAAATAAGCAATATCTTGTGTTAGTATCCAAAAACAATATAATAAGTCTTAGTAAGAAAAAGAGCTCAAGCACCTTTAACCAAGAACACTTAACTTTGGCACTCACAACTGCTGCAGTAAATATTGAGCACCTATTTTTGAACCAAATTATTCACTTAAAAGCTAAATTTTATAAGCTTCATTAACTACATGTACCTTTAAAATTACTATAACTAGGAAAAACAGGTGCTGTTGTAAATCCGGTGCTACCGTCAGTTGGGAGAGCGTGGAACGATGGTTTGTGCCGGTCTAAATCAGGACAATAAATGATATAAGCCGGGAATATATTATATATATGTGTATACGAGCACTTAGCAAGTATAATAAGAGTATGTAATAGTGAGAATATAAGAGTAGTATGAGTATGCGCGCAGAGTAGATATAGAGTAGTATGTGTATAGTCAATAGTGTCAGAGATAGAAATAAAGAAAATAAGAAAAGATATACGATGCAAACAAGAAATCACACAGAAGACTTTATTTACTAAGGAGAAATCACTCAGATAGAACCTAAAGAAATACAGCAAGGCAATTATATCGAGTTTTTATACATGAAGAAATATCTATTCAGAACTTTCCTGAAGGCTCAACGATATAACATCCTTCCGCTATGACTAATCTTAATTACCAACAACACCAATTAAACTTTTCCCCTCGCGTCTTTATCTAATTAAAGACTTTACATCTGAAAGATCAAATTCTTCATCAGCCTACAATAAGATAACACCCGATTGTTATCAATGCTTGATATTGTTTAACTCACCTTCACGTTATGGAGTTGTCCAAAACAGTAATAGAATATAGGTATAAGGGAATAGATAAGGAAGGGGGATGACTATATTTAGAATAAAAGGTATCTATATATAGTAATAATATAGGAAAACGAAATAGGAAAGGGATGATCGATTAAATAAAGTGAGATGATGAAGGGACGATCAGAAGTAAGAACAATTAACTATTGTGGAAGGGATGATAACAGGGGTGAAAATAAAGGAATGATGCGATTTTGGGGCGCAGAAAAGCTTTAATAGTAACACCAGAGCAAATTAAAAAAAATTGTTCAATCACTAGGCGCTTGAGTTGCTTAAAGGGAGTTAGAGATGAACGTATTATATCTGATATTGTATTATACAGTGCGAGGACCTCATGCTGTGATTAGTCTCCATGGCTGCGATAGCAATGCAAGTACCTCTTTTTGCAATCAGGCCCTATAGCTGGCAGGCAATGCAAGGACCTCATGTTTGGTGATTCAGCCCCCCTTATAAAAAAAAAGTCAAAATTCTATTCAGATTTTGTTCGGATTTTTATTACAGAATATGCTCATTTTTAAACTAACAATCCGAACAAAATCTGAATAGAATTTTGATTTTTTTTTTTTTTTATAGGGTCCACAACTATGATAGCAATACAAAGAGCTTATATTTGATTAGGCTCTATGACTGCCACGGGCAGTGAAAAACCTCATGTTTAGTGATTAAGCACTGCAACTACAATAGAAGTGCAAGGACCCATGTTGTAATTAGGCTCTGTGGCTGCTATAGCAATGCAAGGACCCATGTTGTAATTAGGCTCTATGGCTGCCGCAGGCAGTGCAAGGATTTTACTGTATGTTTGGTGATTAAGCACCGTAACTACAATAGCAGTGCAAGGATCTCATGTTGTGATTAGGCTCTGTGGCTGCGATAGCAATGCAAGGACATTACATTGTGATTAGGCTCTATGGCTGACGCAGGCAGTACAAGAACATGATGTTTGGGATTAAGCACCATAACTATGATAGCGTACAAGAACCTCACATTGTGATTAGGCTCCGTGGCTGCGATAGCAATGCAAGGACTTATGTGATTAGGCTCTACGGCTGCCACGGACAGTGAAGAACCTCATGTTTGGTGATTAAGCTCCATGGCTGCGATAGCAATGCAAGGACCTTACATTCTGATTAGACTCTATGGCTGCACAGGCAGTGCAAGTTTGGTATTGGACTTATAGTGATTTGTATAATGATTTGCAATTAAAAGTTCGATTACTGTACTTACAGGCTATTATGGCTGCATAAATGATTTAAATAGGGTTGTATTTGCTATTGGCCTTATCGTGATTTGTATAGTTATCTGTTGTAAAAATTCAGTTACTAAGAAAGGAGATCCGTATCCAACTTTAAACTTATATGGAAATAATCTATGATGCGCAGGCAAAAAAGATTAAAGAGGGTTAAAACTTATGTGATTAGTCATGTGAGCGAACAGACAGACAAAAATTACCTCTAAAAAATTTACAAAGTACAGTTAATAAAACCAAGATAAATATTTTAAAGTTCTGACTTTGATTTATATAGATTACTGTGATTTAAAAATTTGTTATATATTAGATTGATAACCAATAGGATTGCAAATCTATATTACAAGATATATATCTATGTTTTTTTTTTTAGCCCTCCCCCCCATCATCATATTGGCTACTAATTTTATGTTAAACAGAAAATTAAATTGGTGTGGCCTTACATCGATTTACTTCTTTTTGTGTGTTAACGCTTTCATTATCTCACTTCTCGCCTTGGGCGACCATTTAAATAATTGCCCAAGTGAAATGATAAGCTTGAGATCAGCCACGGCCTTAATAACGTTAAGGTTTTTTGCCATATCAGTTATTGGTATATACATCATTGATTCCTTAACCCTTTCATTTTGGCTAGATGATGCTGCTGATTCACTTTACTTTGGCTCCAACGTTTTATGGATCCTTCCTCTTTTGTTTACTACATCACCACCTATATCGTCTTTCTTCTTTTTTCCTAAATTCCTAACCTCAGCTAGATCCATATTCTCATCGTTTACCAATTCAATCATCAGGTAGTCACTTTCATTATTCAGCACTTCATTGGTGAGATCCACATGACGTACATTAGGTCCTTTTTGATTATCGTTTTCTTTGTTCACAATTCGATTTCTTGCAGTCTTTTTGGGACAATCACGTGACATGTGACCATCTTTTTGACATGTATAATACCGTCGAGGTACAGTATTTCGTTCGTTGTTTTGTTGGCCACTTTTATTTGTAAGATCTTTCATTACTTTTGTTAATTCCTTCATTGTATCCTTAATTTCTTGTATATCATTATCAGGTTTTTTTCTCAACCTGTGATATTTTAAAGCTTCTATAGCACTCGTTAATTCATCAACACCAAATTTAGTGTTACTATATGCTCCCTCAATCAAATTCTTGTTCGCCTTTTGTATGTCGAAATCATTATCTTTATTATACCTTTCAATTTTTACAGCCAAATTTCTTGCTTCATTGTAATCGGCTGGATAATGTTCTTCTACTTTCGTCCAATATTCCAGTTTTAATCCATCTATAAACCATTTTCTCTTCTCTCTATCTCGCACTTCATTTTTAAGCATATGAGCATAGGATTCAAATCTATTAGAATACCCGATTATTGACTCATTTTCATCTTGTCTAATTCTCATTAACCTTGCAATTTTCTCTTCAGTGTAGTACTTCGTCTTTGCAGATTTTTCTATATTGGCTTTCAAATCGGCCCAAAAATAAGAAGACTTCATCAATTCACACACCCACACTCTTACCCTTTGTGAGA